AGCCCCAGAGGAGCAGAGCAAGGGGGTGGCCGTCCTGGTGTGGCTCCTGCAATAACCTCTGCCCTGTCTTCTCTGCACAGGACGGCGGCCTTTGCTTCTTTGCACCCTGAAGACCGTGCGGAGCAGCGGCAGTCCGGCCGTTGGAGCAAATGCGCTGAAGGAGGAGGAGGAGGAGGATCATGGCCTCAAAGGTAGGAGCCTGGTTGTGATTTCGGTTTCCCCCCCCCCTTTCTCTTTCTCTCTCCCGTGTACACATAGACATGGGGCAAGGCAGGGAGGGACCCCATAGTGATCCCCTCCGGAGGCTCTGTGGGGGGAGCTCAATAGGGGCCAGGACGAGGTTCCTGCCTCTTGGTTGCCCTCCCAAAAAAGTCGATTTTTTCCTCCTGCCTTAAGGTCGGTAGATCTGCTCCCGTTGTTCTGTGTGACCCCATGAAGGAGGCCGCCTCCAACCTGCCCTCTCCTTCATGGCCCTGCTCCGGCAACGCTTACGAAGGCTCCAGGTTTTAAAGCTGGGCTGGTCGTAGGAATCGGGTCATGGAGGAAGGACAGTGGAAAGGAAAGGATGGACATCTCTTGTTATTCTGCTTTTCGTGCTGCCCTTTGGGAGTCTAATCCTGGGTGGGTGGGAATTGAACTAGACACCTTTTTTGGGTCAGCTGCCGGAGCCCCTTGTGCCCGAAACCTTGATGGTTCTCCACCCGTGGGCCATTTTCTCTCATCCGGGCTCCGGCGCAGTTTCTGTGGTGGCTCGTGATGTGGTCATTTGGGGCTTTAATGTTCCAGCTCGTCACACACGTGGATGATGCTTAAGGGTTAACCGTTGGGGCTCTTGAAATGTCCCCTTTCCTAATCTCATCCCGCCAGCTAGAAAACATTTCTTGTCTTCGGTTTCCTTCTGCTCTTCAAACATCTCTTTTAGAGGAAAAAAGAGGCTAAGTTAGTTGTGGAACCGAACATATTCACAAGGGTTAACTTTTCTCCTGCTGGTGTTTTTATATTATAAAGAGAGATTATCTTCCCCCATCGGATTTCTCTTTGGAGGTTTATAAATATTTCTGTTTTTTAGCATAAGTTGCAACTCCTTTGGTCTCCGATTTGATCAGAGGCTAGACGTCTCGTTCCCAAATTCTCGTAATGCATTAAACATTCACGGCCTTCCATTTAGTTCTGCTTTTTGCATCATCAAAACCTCGGCGTCCCCTCCCCCCCCGTTCCTGGAAAATTCTCCTCTCTTCTTCTTTTTGATCATTGGCATTTTACTAATTTGTACGCTAACGGTGCCGCGAGCAGATTTTGATTCTACAAGGGGAGAGGGTGCTGCTCGGCAAGTCCCCCAGGCTGACAGATGGTGATGCAAATGCGCTGCGGTTCACAAGAGGGGACTTTGTGTGCGTGTTTGTGTGTTTGTGTGTAGATGAATTTTTAGGGTGGGAATTTCTCAGCCCGTGCGGGGCAAAATGTCTCTAGGCGAGACGGACGGATACTCCCGGGCGACAGCTGACCGTCTCGTGTGTCTCAGAGAAGGGAACTCTTTAATAATCGCCCGGCTGCCTAGATTTGCAGAGGCGGCTGGAAATCTGAGCGGGTGCCTGGCGAACTGCCCCCCCCTCTCCTGGAGTGGGATTCCCTGGGCTTGCTAAGTGGCAGATATCCCAGACCTGTGGGCATGGAGGGGAGGGTTCCTTTTCCCCAGAGGGGCCGAGGGGCGGCTCCGCCGTCTTCCCCTCTTCCTGGCGGGTGAGACGGGCCGGCCTCGCGGGAACCAGGCTGCTGGGCTGGGTGTTCGTGGATTCCCCTCGGAGTGACCCAGAGGTTGGCGGGGGGTCCCTGCGCTTGTCTGCTTCTCGCTTGCCTTCGGGAGCGCTCGCTCGTAGTTTGGGGAGGCAAGGTTGGTGGAAGTGTTGAGGACGGACTCAAAGGGTGTGGAGGATGGGTTTTGTGGCCCTGGTGGCCGAGGCCTGGGGAGTCGTCTCTGGGAAGCTGGTTGGGGAAAGGTGGCTGCCTGGCATTGTCATGGGGGTGGTGGGGTCACACTCTGGCTCCTGTTTCCCCTCTGCCGTGCCAGGCAAAATCCATCATGCAAATAAAGGGTATGAAAATCATGGCCTGCTGCCTCGCTGGCAAGGCGGGTGGTCTGCCAACCCCCAAACGTTGAAAGGCAGGACTACACACCCCATACACCCCAAAACCTCCCCAGCCCCCCCTGCTGCTGCCCTCTTGTGGCCTCTGAGGCCAATAGCCACTCTCTGCCAGAGGGTCGGCCACCTGCTGCTGTCCAGGGGAGGGCTTGAGGGACTACGCCCCCCCACCCGCCCCAGCCTGGTCTCTTGCTGGTCCAGGCGTCTTCCTCACCTCCCTGCTGTGCCAAACCTTCCCCGGTGGGGGGGGAGGAAGGAAGGATCTCGTTTCGGCCTCCTATCGGGTGAGCGATCCTCCTTGGCCTGTATTTAGCCATCTGGGAATCTTGGCCCGGAGCGGCTCTCCCGATCAGGTTTTGGGCCGGGGGCGATTTTTAAAACCCCGGCGGCCAAAGGTCAGGTTTTAACTCTTTGCCTCACGAGTGGGAGGAAGAGAGACGAAGAAGCAGGACAGTCTAAGGAGGGTCCGAATGGATGGAGGAAGGGAGGGGGGGTCCCTTTGCGGGCTGGCGGGCCGCTCTGAGGACACCTCTATAAACCTCCTAGGAGGGGCTGAAGAGTTGGGGGGCCCAAACGCCCCTTAAGGTGTCTCATTGGGGCGCAGGGGGAGAGAACTCTGGAGGTGTTATCTAAGCACAGCTGGTTTGAACCTCCTCTTTCTCCCACCATTCCTGCCCTGGAAGGGATCAAACGCCTGGCCTGCCTGGGCGCCCTGTGAGGGCCCCCTCCCGACTGCTTTTCCTGGGCAGGGGTGCCTCCAGAGGTTTGACTCGCCAGCTGGGGGGGGCTCTTAGCTTCACCACCACCCCTTTACACACTGGTCTTGGTTTGCAGGAGGTGAGGGACACCACACACACACACACACCCCTCCTGTTTTTAAAGCCATGGGGAGGATGACTTTGAAGGCTAGGCTGCTGTGGTGCTTCTAGACTGTCACTCCCATCATCCCCCACTTTTGGCCGGGCTGGCTGGGGCTGATGGGGCGCGTAGTCCCTCACCCCCCCCCACGGACAGCTGCAAGTCCAGACAGTGGCTATTTGTCTCAGAGGCCACAAGAGGGCAGCAGAGGCCACACCAAAGCGGCTTCTTCTAGCGGGGAAAAAGAGGCGGGCGGTGTGTGTCTGTGTGTGTGTTTCTAGATGTGAACGCAGAGGGTTCACTCATCCCAAAAATGAAATGGACCCATAGGAAGTGGCCAGGTTGTCTCGAATTGCCCTGTTGTGTGTGTGTGTTTTTCTAGATGTGAATGCAGAGGGTTCACTCATCCCCAAAATGAAATAGACCCATAGGAAGTGGCCAGGTTGTCTTGAATTGCCCTTTCAGGCTGTGTGGCCAGCCCTTTTGGGGGAGTTGGGGGGGGGAGGAAGCCTCTCATCCCTCCCTTTCCTCTCACCCCCCCTTTCCAAGCTTGGCCAAAGTCTTCTTGGCTAGAAAGAGGCTTGGCTTCTCCGTCGAGCCAAGAGGGGCTCAAGGTTGCCTTTCCCGGCGGGCAGAAAAGGCCGTTGTTCCTGCAGCCTCTCCGTCCATCCCTCCCGCCTTTTCCCAGCATGACGGAGGCCCTTTCCCGAGAGGATCTTGCTTTCTCCTGAGGTGCCCGAATCGGCCGCTGTCCAGCATCCCCGACTGAAGGTCGTTCCGCCTGTCTTGGAGAAACGTCCCTTCCAACTTCCCTTTGACCGAACCAGCTCTTCCTCGGAGGTCAAGTTCCTCCCAATGTTTGGCGGGAATCCATCTCCGACTGAAGGTCGTTCCGCCTGTCTTGGAAAAACGTCCCTTCCAACTTCCCTTTGAACGAACCAGCTCTTCCTCGGAGGTCAAGTGCCTCCCAA